TGTGTGTGTGTGTGTGTGTGTGTGCGTGTGTAAGTGAGTGTGTTTGTGTATGTGTGTGTGTGTGTGCGTGTGTGTGTGTGCGTGTGTAAGTGAGTGTGTTTGTGTATGTGGTATTCTTGTTATTGAGGGCGGGGGTTGGGTGGGGGTTGTTTGTTCGTTTGCTCTGTGCTCGTTTGTTTGTTTGTTTGTTTGTTTGTTTTCAATTTATGGTGTATTTTCTCATCACCCCTCTAAATGCAGATTAGGTCATGTTGAAGACTGAGAAGTTGTCCAACAGGAAACGTATTAATTTACTTTCTTTTACTTTTTCTGGCTTCTCTTATCTTGCGGTGTCGAGGATAGAGGCAAATCTCTTTCTCGTGTTTGTTATATTTCCTGTAGCATGGTTACACTGACTAATATTTTCCTGACCTCCTGTATCCATTGTTTTCTGGGTCTGGCCCTACTTCTGTCTCCGTCTGATTTCCGGTTGTAGGCTCTCGCGGTTATGATGTCTGGTGATTGCCATGACAGATGCCCAAACCAATATTTTAAAGCGTTGTTGATCTATGAAGGAGGCAGTTATGCCAACGTGTTCTAAGATATTCTCTTCTCTCTCCCCGTCTCTTTTTCCTATAATATGATGTTCAGAGTTTGTCTTAGGCGACTCATTTCACAGGCGTTGACATTGCTTTCGTGGCTCTTGGGGGTTTTTTTGGTTGTTGTTGTCGTCCATGTTTAGGCTTGATAGCACAGTGTTGTTGTGACAATGCTGACTGTTAATAAGTTGACGATTTGTTTCTATTGTTATGGTGGGGTGTGAAGGTAATGGCGCCACTTTGTAAGTCACAATATTGGCCTTTTTAAAGAATGTATTATGGTATCTATTTCTCCGTCAAACTTTCCATCTAGGGTGAAAACACCTCCCAGGTACGTATTTGAATTCTTCTACAAGCTTGATTTCGTTGTTGTTGACTGTGGTGTTTAGTGGGCCTGGTGTTTGCTGATTTTCATTGCCTCGGTTTTTTAAAATGCTAATCTTCATGTTGTGATCTCTGCAGCTTTTGTTCAGTTTGTTATTGTGTTTTTCTTGTGGGGGTCTGGTCGATGGAAAAAAGAAGCTCGTTGAATCTAACTAAGAGAATGAATTCCTATATGCACAGACAATTCCAAACTCCTCAAGGTTCAAACCTCAAATGTCCGTTTATTTAACAGTATAGTAGTATATACTGTATGAAGTTTAATAACTAAGGGGGGGCTCTCGTGCCCTAGAGGTTAAGGTGTACACCTTTCATTCAAAGGTCCCTGGTTCGAATCCGACGGAAAAATTATCTTTTCTAAAATTGTCCCCTTTCATCTTCTTTCCTTCTCTCTTGCAATATTCTGGTGTCTGCTTTCGTCTCCACTTTCTGCCCTTTACCCCCTCCACTGGCCTCCTGACTCTTTCTGCAGCCTTTCTACTGCTACTTCTTGGCTCCTTCTTACTGCTGTCTTTCAGCCACACCCCTGATAGTCTGGTTGGAAAGATCTACACCAAGCCTTCTCAGACAAGGGTGAAAAATCTCGGATGTTCCGTTTGCAAGTGGAAAGTCACAAAGATTGCAAAAGGAAAGCTTACTTATGGCACCCTTCAACAGCCTCTTCTTAAACGATTAGTAGATACGAGACAATGTTTAGTTACGTGTTGTCCACGTACATGTGTTCGGTTGGGAGGTGGGGGGATGTTTGGGTTTTCTATCTTTAAGATTGTGTATATTTTTTGTTGGTTTTGTTTTGCTGTGTATTGTTTTTGTTTTTATTTGTCTTTATTTTTGCTGTGTTTGCTTTTGGGTTGTTCGTTTTGTTTTTGTTTGTTTGTTTGCTTATTTGTTTGTTTGTTTGTATGTTTGATGTTTGTCTATCTGTTTGTTTGTTTGTTTTTGGGAGGGAGAGTGATGTTCTTATTGTAGTTGTTTTGTTTTCCGAGAGTCAGAAAGTATGTGAAATGGGCGAGGGAGGGGGGGGGGCTGTTTGTGCGTGTATGAGAGAGAGAAAGAGAAAAAGAAGAAGAAGGAGAGAGAGAGAGAAGGAGAGAGAGACAGAGAGCGACAGAGAGAGACAGATAGTGTGTGTGTGTGTTATGAGTTGTTGTTTTTCTTTGTTTTTCTTTCTTTTTTTT